GAAGCAGGCTCCCTGCCGGGCAGAGAGCCCGATGCAGGGCTCGATCCCAGAACCCTAGGATCATGACCTGAGCGGAAGGCAGAGGCTTAACCCATTGAGCCACCCAGGTGCCCCTCTCTTATGATTTTCTTAAAATTTTCTTTTGTCTAGGTTACTTTTTTGTAAGAATACAGTATATAGCGACGCCTGGGTGACTCAGTTGGTGAAGTGTCTGCCTTTGGCTCAGGTCATGATCCCAGGATGCTGGGTTCTAGTCGTATATTAGGCTCCCTGCTCAGTAGGGAGCCTGCTTCTTCCTCTCCCTCTGCTGCTTTCCCTGCTTGCATGCTCCCTCTAACAAACAAATGAACAAAATCTTAAAAAAAAAAAAAAGCATAAAATACATACAATATACAAACTATGTGTCAATCAACTGTTCAAGCTGTCAGTCAGGCTTCCAGTTAACAGTAGGCTATTAATAGTTCAGTTTTGGGAGCATCAAAGTTACATGCAGATTCTTCCCTGCAGGGAGGTCAGTGTCCCTAACCCCTGCATATGCAAAGGTCAATTGTATAGTCTTGCTTCGTAGTCAACTTTCTGTAAGAGAAATCATATTTAGGTCTCTTCTGTACCTTGAGGTCTTACTCAGATGCCTGAGACTTGTCTGTAAATGCTAGCTGTAGCTGGGGGCCATTGTCTGCACTGCAGGACAGCCTAATGGAGGAAGATACCACAACCCCGAATCTAGTTTCCATGTTTTCCTCCTGATAATTCCATCCTCTCTCAAACTCACAACTATACCAGAATTTCACAAATATTCTCTTAAAGTGTTAAAAAAACCCAAGTGTTTAGAGAAACGATTTTTCTAAGCTAGTCCCCTTCAAGTTGCATTTAATTCCACATCTGTTTAAACTAGTTGTACGATTACATAATTTATTTATATAGCAACCAATTCACTAAGAATGCAAATGGAAAGCTCTTTTTATGAAAACAAAATTGAATACTTCGGAAAGACTTAATAAAAGCAAGTAGCCAAGTCAAATTGTTAAACTAAGTGTGGAAAGACAATTGAAAGAGTAAGTTAAAAACACTGCAGCCCTCAGACTTCCTTCCAAGTGTTTCAAAATTCTCATCACACTTTAAGGAAACCCAAACAGTTGATATGGAGTGGTACAAGACTGTCAGAGGCTACATGACGGTTTTGGTCCTACATCAAAAGATTGCCTCAAAAATGTACATTTGTGGGGCACCTGGGTGGCTCAGTGGGTTAAAGCCTCTGCCTTTGGCTCAGGTCATGATCTCTGGGTCCTGGGATCGAGCCCCACATCAGACTCTCTGCTCGGCAGGGAGACTGCTTCCTCCTCTCTCTCTGCCTGCCACTCTGCCTACTTGTGATCTCTGTCAAATAAATAAATAAAATATTTTTTAAAAATGTTCATTTGTAATTCTTAGAAGAAAGTACTTTTACTTTTATGATTCTCAGATTTAAAAGATTTTTTTCCCAATATGGACCAATTTAGTCAATCACATCAGTAATGGATTCTACCTCATTTACTTCTTTTATTTCCACAGAGGATTCAGGTAGTGTACAAAGAAATACCAATAAATTTAAAATAAAAAATTGAAGCAGTCAGTAAATAGGGTAGAAAAGAGAGGCAGCTGTACTCATAGCAAAAAATGAATGCCGGGGTTTCTGGGTGGCTCAGTGGGTTAAGCCTCTGCCTTCGCTCAGATCATGATCTCAGCTTCCTGGGATTGAGCCCTGCATCAGGCTCTCTGCTCAGCGGACAGCCTGCTTCCCCCCGCCTCCCTGCCACCTGCCTCTCTGCCTACTTGTGATCTCTGTCAAATAAACAAAATCTTAAAAATAAAAAAAGAATGCCATGTTTCCATTATACTTTACTAACGATAACTTGTCTCCCTGTTTTCTAGCAATCAGTACAACAAAGCAAATAAAATCAGTTATATTCAAATTATCAAGAGCTTAAATCAAACTTAATACTTACGAAGAAAGTATTATCTATAATATAGAGATCAGAAAAAAATTTCTCTAGTAGAGAAATTTATTTATATGGTAATGATTGAACTACCAACAATCCCTACAGTAAAAATCATAACGTGTCCCAAAGGACTCTATTTTGATGAAATACGTACTATCAAACACATATACACACATACAGATATATATGTGTTGATACATTTTTTAATGAATGACATGATGCCAAAATACTATTTAGTAAAAACAACTGTAAGAACAAATACCATCTTCCCCATACTCTGACAATATACACTAATCCAGGACTAGATTTTAGAGTATTTGAGAGCAGTGGCTCTGAAAATGCTTTTGGGTAATGTACAACTTTGAAATTCTGATGAAAAACTGACCAATTCCCTCAAATCTTTCTTTTTAAGACTTTATTTATTTGACACTGAGAGAAGGAACACAAGCAGGTGGAGTGGGAGAGGGAGAAGCAGGCTTGCCACAGAGCAGGGAGCCTGATGAGGGGCTTGATCCCAGGACCCTGGGATCATCACCTGAGTTGAAGGCAGACCCTTCACTGACTGAGCCACCCAGGTGCACTCTGCCCCCCTGCAAATCTTATACAGAATTTCTGAGAAGTTTAAGTACCTCAAAAAAGCCTAACCAGGAATGCCTGGGGTATACGACTGAAGGTTAAAAACTCTTCTACTAGAGCAGTCATTGTGATTACAGGTCCTTCGTATAGTGCTTGAAAACCATTTTCTCTTCATATTTTGAAAGGTGTTAAGCTTGAGTGCATTCAAGATTATGTACCTGGAGTGAAGCTATTCTAAGTCATAAGTGAAATATAGATCCATATGCTCTTAATGATCTGTTAAGCTAAGGCAGGACTCACTTCCCTTATCGAGAATTTGAGCTTAATAAAGACGGCAGTCTCCGCACGTTACTCCAGTTGGAAGCTGGGAGGGTCTCTACAGCCAAGATTCCCTTAGAAAACAATTTAGGTGCATTCTCAATAGGAAATAAACAACCAGAGATTCCACGCTATGAAGTATGAAAATCTTTTAGCCTAGAAAAAATTCTTAAAGAAATCCAACTAAATAAAGTATCTAGTAAAGAATATTCTGTTTTTAAGCAATGCAAATTGATTTATGTGGCAGAGGAATTAACTAGTTTAATTCTTCACTCCTCGGTTGTAGTACTGTACATCCATACCCTTACCATGTCCTCACTGCAGGCCAAGTGCATGTCCCTGCTCCATGACTTTGAGCTTACTTGTGTGATATGCTTAGTAACAGTAAGTAAGCAGATACGACATGAGCAAAGGCTTAAAATGTGTTTCACTGGGTTTACTCTCCTGTGACCCTGCCTTTTGGCAAAAGAATATGCTTCAGACAGCTGCTGGTTCGAGGAGGTTGAGAAACAAACGGGGCAGATCTAGACCCAGGAAACAGCCTGGAACTTAGTCCAGGCTTAGCCTTCATCAGCTGAACCCCAATCCTATATATATATATATATATGAGTAAGAAATAAAGCTTGAGGTTTGTATGAGTTTTGGGATGATTTCTTATGAAGTGTTATTGTGGCAATTACTAACAAATACAGTAAATACAAGTTGTAAGTTGCAAAACATCAATATCTTTAACTGAAATGTTATACGCACTATTAGCTTCAAATCCCTGGGGGCTTGCATGCTAACCAGAGAAAAATTTTTTTTTCCCATGAGGGAGGGTGACAGCATATACCGAAGTAACCATTCTCATCCACTTTGACTATTTTACTGAGAGACAGGTTTCAAACTATTTTTCTGTCTATCAGGTTTATGTTCAAATAGCTCAGTGAATCAAAGGCAAGGAGGCAGGGCTGATAGATAAGTCCAGGTGGGGATAAGAATTTTTAACCCTGAAATATTTAGAGTTGAGGGAGCACGGTGACAAAAAGAAGACTGAACTATAGCTGCTTTTACTACTGTTTTAAAATTCTCTGCATATATACCCTTATTGATTGTGCCTTGGGACACCGCTCCCCTCTCTTCCCAACCCCTTCTCCCTGTGAGCCACTGAAACAACTCATGCTTATTAGGACACAGAATTCCAAAAATAAAAGTCGCAAAGTAACTTATGCAAATACCCAAGCTGTTATTATTAAGTACAGTAGTACCAGAAGTTCATTCAATTATTTTATGAATATTAAAAGCTTTATAAAGTTAATCACAATGGAAAAAATTAAGGTCTTTGAATTATAACCAGATTAACATCACAAAAGGAAATTATCTCAAATGTAATGCCACTAAACTAAGCTAGTGCTTATTCACTCTATAAATATAATTCAGATCATACAAACCGTTTAGTCCCAAATTCTATTTTCAATGTATTCTATTAACTTTCTTTATTCATTACTCTGGTTTTACATAATAGGTTACTATCTCAGAATCACTGAGGGCCAATGAAAAATAAGAGTACTAATGCTCCAAGATTATTTTTAGTCAATTAATGCAAATAATAAAGTTATAAAGATAATGTAAATCTCATCCATTATCAATATCTACATAATTTAGTAAAGTTTTTTTAAATTACCCAAATGGAGCTATTAATATTTCAATGCAAATTTTAATAATCTAAAAAAAAAACAGCTATCATTTCTTGATTTCATATTAGAGTAAATAAAAAGGACATTTTTAAATAGCACAGTTCATGAATAATCACTTTAGGTTCTGAAACTACAATCTTTCCAATTTAAAACTATTCAGAACTGTATTAATTGGAAACTGCAGCTCAGACAAAATTTTTAACGTTAGAGTAATATATAGTCTATCTTGTGTATAAAATATAATACATAATGTTAAATGTAACAATGTATACTATAAGTTATATTTATTACTGCTGGCTTTATTTTTACACAATAAATCCCACCATAGGCAATAAAAGTATAATACAAGTAGCAATTAGAATTAATCCAAATGAATGTCCCCAGAATATTTTAAGAATCTTACATTTGTTAAGCAAAGTTTACTTATATTTAGTATTAAAAGTTTACATACCTGAAGTTCCAAAAACTACATCCCAAGGGGAACTAATGGGCTGTTCTTCTCCTTGAGCTCCGCCTTCTTTATCTGTACCTTGAATTCCAATGCCAGCTACAGTGCTCACCATCTCAGCTTCTAGATCAATCTATAAAAATTAACATGTTTTACGCAATGTATGTCACTTTTTTTTTTTCCTTTTGGTACACGAAAATTTCCAATAGAACATATAGAAAGTTTTTGCAACACAAATACTCCTAAAAAATAAAAAGCTAAAAAAGGACTAATCAAGAATAGGGGGAGCTTGTTATTCAAATGCACAAAACACAGTCCTTTTCATTTCCCCACCCATCCACTCCCCGCTTTCCTCATCATTGGACTCTACAAGGATTGGTGTTGATGTCATCTTAACTATAAAAGGTGTTGAAGAAAGTGAAATTTGAAATTTCAAAGCAAAATCTAGAAAGATGCATGTTTCTTAAAAGTAAACGTATGTATTTCAATTATGCTTGACTAGTAATTGACAAATATAGATCTTAATATGTGCTAGGCACTGATCCAAGAATCATCCATCCATTCATCCTCACAATAACCTATGACTGTGATTTAAAAAAAAATTTTTTAATTTTTTATAAACATATAATGTATTTTTATCCCCAGGTATGACTGTGATTTTGATTAATATTAAGGAAACTGATGCACAGATCATAAAGGCAAGACAAAGATCTGGGATTTAAACCCAGTTAGTTCTAGCTCTATTACATTACACTGCCTCCACTTTATAAACTGGAAAAATGAAGTCTACTGTAAAAAGGCACTTCGGTTTAATCTCCTAAAATCCTTCCACCCACATTTACCATGAAAATTATCAAACACAAAAGTTGAAAGAATTTTGCAGCAAAGATCCATATACCCACTACCTCCTATCAACATTTCATTTACTTGCTTTTCACGTATCTTACTGAGCTATCTATCCATCTACACTTTAAGATGCATTTCAAAGTACACCATAAACATCAGTACACTGGCCCTAAATATCTCAACAGGCTTATAATTAACAAGAATTCTGTATTTTTTCAGTTCCCTTTTTTTTGGAGCGGAGACTTACAATGAAATGCACATATCTTAAGTGTACCATTCAATGAATTCTCATAAATGCATTGTAGCCTCAACTTACATAAAGATACTGAATGTTATCTTCACTCCAGCAAGTCCCTGCAAGCCTCCTTCCAATCTCTCCTACCCCCGAAGGCAAATAGTACTGTTTTTCCATCACAGGTCGGTCAGCTGTAGCTCTTCCAGGACTTGAGATAAACTGAATCAAACAGTATGGACTCTTGTGCAGGAGGCTTCTTTCACTTAGCAGGTTTTTGAGATTTATTCGTATATATGTAGTTTGTTCCTTTTTACTGCTGAACAGTATTCCATGATAGGAATATACCACAGTTTATTTACTTATTTTCCTACTGATGGATACCTGGACTATTCTTCAAATAGAGTTGCTCTCAATATTCTTGTGTAAGTCTTTTGGTGAAGGTATTTTTTAACTTCTCTTTTGTACATATCCAGGACTGTCACTGCCATGTTACAGGATTAGTTTGATTAAAAAAACAAAAACAAAAACAAAAAAACTGCCTGAAGAGTGGTCTATAAATGATAAATACATTTCTGTATTCCCTCCAATGTATACAAGTTCCAATTACTCCACATCCTTGCCTTGCAAACCTATGGCTTAGTCAGTCGTTCTTTCTTTCTTTCTTTGTCAGTCTTTTTAATTTTAACCATTATAGTGGATGTATTTCATTATGGTTTCACTTTGCGTTTCTTTTTTAACCCATGATGTTCATTACTTTATGGGTTTGTGGTCATTCTTACATCTTTTTAAAGAGGTCTGTTCAAATCCTTGCCCTTTTTTTATCTGTAGGAAACTTTATATTTCATGGATCTTAGTTCCTTCGGATATGTTTTGTAAATTTTTGTGACTAATTTCTGACAGCCTGTAGCTTGTCTTCATTGTCTTAACAGTAAATTTTGGTAAGTTTTAAATTTTGATAAATTCAAATTTATCTTTTTTATGACTGTTTGTGTTCTGTCTTTGAGAAACCTTGCCTATCTGCAAGTCACAAAGATTCTCATGTTTTCTTTTAAAAACTTCATGGCTTTAACATTTACATTTAGGTCTGTGATGCATACTGAATAGATGTTTGTAATATGATGTGTGAGATAGGGGTCATGTGTCTTTTTTCCCCCCAAAATGAGTATCTAGTTGTTCAAGCACAATAGGTAGAAATGACTTTCCTTTCTCCCTTATTACTTTGATGCTTTTTGAAAAATATGAGGTTACTTCTAGAAATGCCATTCTTTTTTATTGAAATACACATCTATCCTTATAAAAGTATCACATTGTCTTGACTTAGTATAATATTACACTAAGTCTTTAAATCACATGGTATATCTTTTAACTTTGTTTTCCCAAGATTGTTATAGATACAATAAATCCTTTGTTTTCAAACCTCCATGTAAAAATGTTGGAATCCACTTGTCATTATCTTTAAAACAAAAGAAAACAAAAAAGCCTGATGGAATTTTTATTTCAGATTGCATTAAATCTACAGGTCAATTTGGAGAGACTAGATATCTTAATCTTGAGCCTTCCAATCCAATCATTGGATTAATTTTTCTCAGCAATGTTAAATTTATTTTGTGTTTTATTACTATAAAATTTTAAAATTCCTGTATTTTGTTAACTTATTCTCTGTATTTTCTATTACTGTAAATAAAATTATAAAATTCTAACCTATTACTAGTATATAAAAATACTGATCTTTTTATACTGATCAGCAGCCTTCCTAAATTGACTTATTCAAGCAGTTTTTCTCATAGATTTCTTAGAATTTTCTACGTAGCTGGTAAGCAAGTACCAAATAAAGATAGTTCTTCTTTTTCAGCCTGTATGCCTTTTCTCTTTCTTGCCTTATTACAATGGCTAGTACTTCCAGTATAATTTTTAACAGGTATGGTGAGAATGGGGATCCTTGCCTTGTTACCAATCTTGGAGGAAAGGCATTCAATAATTTGCATTAAGCATAGCTCTAAGATTCTTGTAGATGCCCTTTATCATACTGAAGATGTTCATTTCATGTTCACTAATTTTATTATAAATAGAAAAACATTTAAAAACATTTAATAGCTAATCTAGCAAAGCAATTGTATGGTTATTATCTTTTATTCTGTTACTATGGTGAATTACGTTGAATTAGTTAAGCAGTATCCTCCTGCATTATTTTTAGTGACCATTCTTTAATCTCCTGAAAATGTAAAGAATATTCATCAATGTAACCTTATTTATATTTTTACTGAACCTAATCTGCAAAAATACAATAGGCATCTAGGGATGGGTCCTTGAAATACATCTTGACTTAAGAAATGTATTTAAGACTTGGGGCACCTGAGTGGCTCAGTAGGTTAAGCGTCTGCCTTCAGCTCAGGTCATGAACCTGGAGTCCTGGGATCAAGCCCACATTGGGCTCCCTGCTCAGCAGGGAGTTTGCCTCTCCCTCTGTGTGCTGCTCCTTGTGCTTGTGCTCTCTCTCTCTCTCACTCTCATTCTATCTCAAATAAATAAATACAATTTTAAAAAGAGAGAGATGTATCAAAGACTTGTTATAATAATTCCTCTTGCAAAAGCCACAGGTCCAGGTGATGTTAAGAGGAGTTTTGATGAATATTCAAAAACTATTAATTCTAATGTTAGACAAATTATTAAAAAAAAAAAAAAGAAAAAGAGCAAAAATTAATTAGCTCATTTGATGAAGCTGGTGTGACCTTGATTTCAAAATCAGGTGAGAACAGTATAAGAAAATATAGAGCCATTTAATTTATGAACATGAATTTTTAAAATATTTAATTTGGGATAATCAAATCCAACTTGACTTTTTAAAAAAAATCATGATTAGGCAAGATTTATCACAAGAATAAAAAGGTGACTGAACATCAAAAATCTATTAACTCATTATATCAAGACATCAAGGGCAAAAAATTATTTCAATAAATGTAGAAAATGCATTTCACAAAATTATAAAATAATTCTTAGTAACCAGGAATAGAAAGTCTAGCCTCATGAATAATTTTATTTCCCAAAGTTATAAAAAAATATTAAACTTCTGGAGAAAATTTACTCCCTTTAAGATTATGAGCATGACAAGACATATACTATTACTGCCAATGTTTAAAGGCATTTGACGTTTTTGCCAACAATAAGATGTATAAAAATAAGAAGAGAAAAGATAAAACTCCCATTTGTTTTTTCAGACAATATAATTATTTATATGAGAAACAAACAGGACTTTACAGGAATGGATAGGCTAATCCTAAAATTCACATGGAATTGAAAGGGACTCAGAACAGTCACAACGATGCTGGAAAAGAAGAAAATGGGAGGACTCCTACTTCCTGATTTAAAAACTTATTAAAAGTTACTGTGATACAGGCATAAGAACTGATATATATGTCAGTGGAATAGACTTGAAAGTCCAGAAATAAACCCATGCAGGTATGAGTAATTATTTTCTAAAGGTTGCCAAGACTACCCAATGGATAAAAAAAATTTCACAAAATTACATGTTTCATGGGGAAAACGGAGATAAAAGTCTCTTTAATACACAATTCTGGGATAACTGGATATCCACATTCGAAAGAATTAAGTTGGACCCCTACCTCACATCATATAAAAAAAATAAATTCAAAATGGAGCAAAGACTGAACTCAAGGGGCCATAACTATCAAACTCTCAGAAGAAAACACAGGAGTAAATCTTCATGATCTTGCATTTGGCAATGTAATCTTACATAGGACACCAAAAGCATAAGCAATGAAAGAAAAAAATTGGGAATCATCAAAATTTAAAACTCTTAACATCAAAAGATATGATTAAGAAAGTGAAAAAACCAACCCACCAATGTGGATTGTGAGAAAGTGTCTGAAAAATCAGATATCCCATAGGGATTTATATCTAGAATACACAGAGAACTCTTACAAGTCAATTAGAAGAAATACAACCAGGTTAAAAAACAGGTAAAGAATCTGAACAGACACTTCTCAAAAGAAGACATACAAGAGCTCCATAAGGATGGGAACAGATGCTTAACTTCTTTACTCATTAGGGAAATTATTAACAAAACCACAGAGGCCAAATTATACCTAGTAAGAGGGCTAGAACTTAAAAAATGGAAAATAACAAATAATGGTGAAGATATGGAAAAAATGGAACCCACAAATATTGCAGGTAGAAATGTAAAATGGTACCACTACTGTGGAAAAGTTCAGCAGTTTCTTAAGAAGTTAGACATAAAATATAAAACATATAATTCAACAATTCCTTTACTTAGGTATCTACCCAGGAGAAATAAAAATATGTGTTTACATAAAACTTATACATGAATTCATAACAACCAAAAATTGGAAACACACTAAATATCCATATCAACTGGTGGAAAAAATACAGTATAGCTATACAATGGAATGCTATTCAGCAATACAAAAGAATAAACTGCTGATAAGCTATATCACAGATGAACTTCAAAAACATTGCTCAGAATAAAAGATGACACAAAAGGCCATATATTATGATTCTATTTCTATGATATGTTCAAAAGAGGCAAATTTATAGACAGAAAATAGATTAGGACTGGGCCTAAAAACAGGGATTAACTATAATTGGGCATGAGGGTTCTTATGGGGGACTGAAAATGTTCTAAAACCAACTTACAGTTATGGCTGTACAACTTATGTACATTTCCTAAAAATTCTCGGATTGTATACTTGAAATGAGTGCTATATAAAATACATCACAATAAAGTTGTTAGAAAAACACACGCAAACATTACATCTTACAAGGTCATATACAAATAGAAAGATGTGAATTCAACATGCCAGAATGACTTGCTACAGGTCTGTTTATGTAGGGGAACAGCAAGAGTGGGGCTAAGAAGGAATTTATAAATTACTAAAGAAATTATTCTAAACAAAAGTCAGGTCGGCATGAAACAGTGATATTTGTGAAATATGAACGTATATGATCAATCTTCTGCAAATGCGGCCTTAAACAAAAGTAAACTGCAGTCCGTATTTTTATATATTTAAAAAGAGAAGAAATAATAATTCCATCTCACTTTATTTTGCAGACATTAAACTAAGTCATATAATTTAAAAATAAGTTCATGTAGTCTAAATTTTTGTGATTATGCTACTTAAAATGTATTTGAAATGCAGCAAATACTCTAAAACCCATTACATTCTAAAGCAAGAAAAAACCACAGAATTATAAAAAGTACACTCTGAATATTGTGGGCTAAATATCTATTTTAACACCTTGTTAGATATCCAAGACACCATGCTGAATTATAGAAGCATACATACAACCCTGAAAAGACAATGATAAAGAAACAGTGACCTTTAAGGATTTGGTAACAACAGAAAGGCACTTTTTCCCAAAGCAGGAAATGGTGACATACCATAAAATCATTAATCCTACAAAAAGGTCTGCCTAAAAAAGACTCTTCTGTCAAATAAATTTAGAAATATTGCACATATATCCCCCCACTAACGTATTCACAATATATTAACATATTAAAGTCTCTAAGAACAAAGTCTCCAAGACTTATAAAGAATACATCTGCTTTAATTAACAAATCCACAAAATCCTTGCCTCAGATGTTTTCAAATTAAGAGGAATACACACTTCAGAAACTATTTCACTAAATAGGTTATTTGCTCAAAAATTCATTCAACAAATATCTACTGAACACCTATAATGGGCCAGCCTCTGTCCTAGGTGCTTAAGATTTCAGCAGTAAAAATAAATTTTGTGACCTCATGGAAATTTACCTTAAAGTGGTATACAAGTTCTATACATGTTTTTTCCTATTATATTACATGATAATATTGCCAAATGGCACAAATATCAATACAGAGAAAAAAGAGAAAAGCAAGGAAGTACCTGAAACAATGTGTTTCGGCAGATGGGTTAGATGAATTTAATCACTTTCTAAATAGACAGCAACTTAAAGGCCAATGCATTATAGCCAAAATATTCATTAATATGAAATGTTTAAAATAACTAAGTACTTCTACAGTGGGATACTATGCAGTCGTACCATTCACGTGACTAGTATGGAAAACAAATTTGAAAGAACTGCAGAAGATTATTATGTACAGTATGATTTCATTTGTTTAATAAAGGATTCTCTAGAGACAGCCTTTTAAATATAAATTTATTTGTACAGGAGTAGAAAATTACTGAAAAGACAAATATTTTAACAATGATTAGTTATCTCTAGGGACCCAAAATAGATGGTACAAGCCTTTTTTACCTTTATGTATTAATTCATGTTTAGTACATAAGAATCCTATATAACTTTTATAATGAGGTAAAACGAGGGGTGCCTGGGTGGCTCAGTTGGCTAAGCATCTGCCTTTGGCTCAGGTCATGATCTCTGTACCAGGATCCTGGTACAGAGTCCCGCATCGGGCTCCCTGCTCAGTGGGGAAGTCTGTTTCTTCCTTTCCTTCTGCCTCCTCTCCCTGCTCGTGCTCTGTCACTGTTTGTCTGTCTATCTCTTGCCCTCAAATAAATAAATAAAATCTTTTAAAAATAATTTTAAAAAATGAGGTAAAACAAATTTTAAGACTGACTGATAATTATTTCCAGGCAAAGCATTAGAGCGGAAGGGAGGTGGGAATGGTATGATTTTTTTTTCTAGGTTTGAGAAAATTTAACTGAAAAAAGGACATAGCATCACTCTGTAAACAGTGGTTAGGAAAATATCGCAAAATGAGGAGTTTTGGGGTGATTAGGCACTTTGAAAAAAAGGATAAAAAAAAAACCTGATCGACAGGTTTGTCTTCTGTGACAACTACAGGCTGACACACAGAAAAATAAGCTACCTAAGAATAAAACAGAAGCAGTTACCTCTGAAAAAAGTTCCATTCCAAATATTTAATATAGCACGTAAATGCCATTTTTTTCTGAGTAGATTAAAACTTTCTTTAAAATTGAAAATTACCTTTCTTATAAGGTGGTTTTCAGTATCTGCCACGTATATGATATTATTCCTTATGGCTACACCCTGCGGTGAATTAAAAGTTGACTCTGAAAATACTCCATCTTTTCTTCCAGGGTTGGGTCCTAAAAGACAAGATTGCCACAAGACAATTTTTTTCACTTCAAAAGTTATCTCAACCCCCCTCCCCCAAATATTTTTCTTTACTTTATTTTCTTTTTATTGTATCTATAGGGGAAGACAGATGTTAGCTGAACCTGTTGTGGTAATCATCTTACAACATATATAAATCAAACCAAAATAAATAAATAAAATTTGTACTTAAAGCTGAGATTTTAATATAAATAGCATGATACTTTCACCTAAAAACTATTTCTCAAGATATATTTTTCTCAAGATTAAGTTTTGCTAATGACAGGGCTTATTGGATAATGGTTACTAAGTAGCATACATCAGAAAATATATTTTTTAAACTATTTTAATTATCTACTACCTGGACTAGAAAGAATTAAAAATAATTTTAATCTTTTCACATCTAGATGAATGATTTTTTAACAATTTTGGAAGATATACTCCTTTGGCAATACACAGAAAATTATGAACCTTTTCCTTAGAAAACCATATATGCCCATAAGATGTCACAAACAATTTCAAGGGGTTCCTAGATCCTGAGGGCCATCCAAGCATTTCTTAATAGTCTATGTACCCCAGGTTAAGAAACCCGCATATTTACTATTTCACTTTGCCACAAAGTTCTGTAATATCCTATAAACGCTTAGAGAGACAAAGAGTGGTTCTGGTCTAATGGCCTACTTCTCAACTTCTCTAATACATGCAGTTTCAAGGGTGGAGAGTACACAACATAAAAACATGTAAGTGTTATTTCTGTGACCAAACAATAAGCCATACAAAGCCTGTAAGTCGGCACTCCCAAACTATGCCTTGCAGAACTCTGCTGTCCTAGATGTTAGTAAGAGAAGTAGTATAACGTAGTGGCCAGGAACATGAACGCAAGAGCCCACGTGACTTAGTTTAAGCTCTACCTCTTCCTAGCTAATGATCTAAGCAAGTTCTTTATATCTCAATTTCTCTTCTGTAAAATGGAGTAATAATATACCTAACCTATAGCACTGTGAGGACTAAATTAATACAGGTAAAGTGCTTAGAATAATGCCAGGCATATATATGTTTGCTATTATTACTATTATTAACAATACTATTATTGTTGTTAATGGGAATTTCCTGTGGGAAAAAGGGAGAGTATCATGGTCCCTTTAGATTGGAAAATATTGTATGGTATAACCTCTCTTGAATATTCATGAGGTACATAAGCAAAGTAAAAGACTGAGGAGTAGAGGGACACCAACACCAATAAATGTCTCTTAAACACCTAACCAATATTTCCTAATTGTATCTGACAACAGAATTTTTAAAATTATTGTAGATAACTTTCAATTTATCGCAAGTTACTATTATTCCTAAAAACAGGTTTGGGAAAGGTAGCTTACTGCTGGTTTTTCTGTTTAACAAAGGAAAATATTTATTTATACCATTCTGAAAATTATACAATTAAAAACCTTTTAACTATTTAAATGAACCTACCAAAACACAATTTTTAAGCAACAATTCTCGTAACTGCCTGTCATCAACTCAAACATCAAGTTGCTGAAACAAAAGAAACATAAAACCTAACATACACTCTAACAAAACAAAAACAAAAAAGAAGAAATGTGAAAAATTCAAGAGCTAGGGGAACAGTATCTAGGCATCCTAAGAATAGCACCAGGCTTAGGAATAAGACTAGTTTATTTGCATTGGTAATGCAGAAAACCCCTACTCTATGTATTAATGCTGCATATGTTACCAAAGCAGGATTGCAAAGAGATGAATTACTTTTGACTGTTATGTTACTAGATGTCAATTCAACTTGAATAAGCCGGATTAGTAAGAATGTGCTTAACAGGTTTTATTAACTATGTAGATGTCAGTTTAAGCCTGTTTTAGATCTAAAACCAGCGTGATAAATTTCAATTTTAATACATTTCCTTGAGCTTTTTCACTGTAAAATATATTATGTATCATAACTAGAAGCAAACTTTACCTCCAATGCTGTACTGAATTTCTCCATTCTTCCAGACGACCAAAATTCTATGATGTCCAGTGTCTGCTATTACCAATCTATTAGAAACATGGTCTACTGTTACTTTGCCAGGAAACAGCAATGGTGAAGGTGGCAAAGAATCTTTATAGAGTTTTACTTCAATTTTATTATCTCGGATCTGTCCCCTGTCTTTGTAATACTTTAATGCCATGGAAGTATATAAAAATAGTTTATCTTTGTGTCCCTCTCCAATCAAAGAAAATAACATATTTCCACGGGGTCCAAGTATGACCAGAGTTGGCCAGCAGGAAACTTCTAGTTCTTGCCAAAGACTGGCATCTGCATCATTAACCACAGGGTGGGTGATGTTGTATCGAAGAACAGCGCTCTTAATGTTATCCAGGACTTTTTCATTTGGAAACTTAGCCGAGTGAACGCCAACAATCAGAAGACCATCTAAATGGGAAAAATTGTAAGTTAAACATCACGAAGCATTGAAGTTTGAATGTCACCATCCACACATTAGGTTGTGGATCATTAATGAACAGTCCAGAGTTTTTGTTTTTGTCATTTTTTAAGGGCAGAACTAAAATAGTGTTTTCAACTGCATTTAAACATGAATAAAAAAATTAACATTTAAATCTCATGACAATCTTGATTACATAAAGATACATACGATCAAAATAATGTGGGTATTTCAGGACTGAACCTCTTTGTGTCCTTTATCTAGACAAATTTTTTAAAAACATTAATTTTTTTTTAAGATTTTATTTATTTATTTGACAGAGAGATCACAAGTAGGCAGAGAGGTGGGCAGAGAGGGTGGGGGGAAGCAGGCTCCCTGCTGAGCAGAGAGCCCGATGCTGGGCTTGATCCCAGGACCCTGAGATCATGACCTGAGACGAAGGCAGAGGCTTAACCTGCTGAGCCACCCAGGCGTCCCCAAAACATTAATTTCTTACAAAGATACTAAAATACTGTCATTTTTTCCCCTTTAAAATTCATAGTGGCTATGAGTGCTTTTTGCTAGTATTTATTGTCATATTATCCTCTTAGGTTTTTCTGGCCTACCTACATTACAGATTAACAGAATGAATATAAGATGATTCTATAATATAAGGTCTTTATTTAAAATTACTATTAAATGGGGGCGCCTGGGTGGCTTAGTTGGTTAAGCAAGTGCCTTCGGCTCAGGTCATGATTCTGGAGTCTCAAGATCAGGTCTCACCTCCAGGTCCCTGCTTGGCAAGGAGTCTGCAACTTCCTCTGACCTCTCCCCTCTCATGTTCTCTCTCAAATAAATAAATAAAATCTTAAAAAAAAATACTATTAAATGGTTCTTAAAACAAGCCTTAATTGTAGATAGCAGAACTGCTAAAAACTAAGAACAACATATTTCTTTTACCTAATCAACACAGTGTGTCAAGAAGATGATACAGGAAAAAAAAAAAAGTAAAAAGCATTTGGCTGGATTCAGAGAAAGAACTCAATACTGACTACCAAGATAACAGAGGTAATATTTAAATTACAATTTCCTAACCCACTCATCAAAAACTATGCACATCAGCATGAAGAAAAAATAAAACCACACAAATTACATAACAGAGGTAATATGTAAATTACAATTTCCCAACCCACTCATCAAAAACTATGCACATCAGCATGAAGAAAAAATAAAACCACACAAATTGGGGGGTGTAATTTCCTGATAGCCCATCCTTCCATTTGCAACTATTAACTCCCAACAAAACACATACATCACACACATACACACAGAGCCCCTCTGTATAAGGAACCAGAAAAGTACACAAAAGCAGGTACATTGTTAGCAGGGGGTCAAAACTTGGAGAAGTCGACCCTGAAGGGGAGTTTCCAGTTTCTTTTTCTCTTTCATGGCTTTGCCCTCAAGATGGGCCTCAGTTTAGAAGTAATGCAGGTGGTGAAAACAATGGAACTCCCTTCCTGGCCCAAGGAGCCAGGGGGACTGGAGGGTGTGGAGAAAACCTCAAGGGGAGGAGAGCAGGAGATGGGGCCCCCCCACATCTAAGTATGAACACTCACAAGTCTTGGCTTAACTCCTAAACTATACCTGCTTGAGGCAGGCCTACAAAAGTGTAGCGGAGGCTGGAGTTGAAGAATCAAGCATTGAGTTGCTGAGCTGATGAAAGCAGAGCAGAGCCGATCGAAGATGAGACAGAACTTAGAGTCTGAACCAACAAAGCTGAATGCCTGTGAAAACAAGGGACAGACCCCAGCACCAAGATAAAGCCGAAGTATGAATTAGTAGACAAAGACTTTAAAGGAACTATAACTATGCTCCATGAGGTAAAGAAAAACACACTTGAAATAAATGAAAAGATAGGAAATACAGAAATAGAAACTGTAAGAAAGAGCTAAATGAAAATTTTAGAACTTAAAAATACTATATTTAAAATAAATTCACAGGATGCCTGGGTGGCTCAGTCAATTAAGCAGCTGCCTTCGGCCCGGGTCATGATCCCAGCATCTTGGGATCGAGTCCCACATGGGGCTCCTTGCTCAGCAGGGAGCCTGCTTCTCCTTCTGCCATTCTGTCTGCCTGTGCTCTCTCTCTCTGACAAATAAATAAAATCCTTAAAAAATTTTTTAAAAAATAAAATAAATTCACTGGATGGCAATGGTAAAAAAGAGATGACAGAGAAAAGAGTCAATAAACCTAAAAATAGCTCAATGGAAATTATCCAATATAAAGAACACAAAGAAAGAAGACTGGAAAGCAAAAATGAACAGAACTTCATGGACCTGTGGAACAGTTTAAATGATTTAATGTAAGTAGATTTGGAATCACTGAAGAAGAAGAAAGACTGGGCAGAAAAAAAGTCTGAATAATACCAAAACTTCCAAAATTCAACTGACGATATAAATTTACAGAATTCAAGAAATTCAAGAACTCAAGAAATTCACTAAATAGGATAAATCAAAAGAAAATCATGTTAAGACTCTGAAAACCAAAGATTAAAAACCAAACCCCACAAACATTTTGAAAGAAAATACACACAGAAATGACATTGTGATTAGTGGTTGTTTAGGCACCGGGAAGAATGGTGGTGGGAGGAGTGGGAAGAATTATACACTTAAAATATGTGTAGTTTACTGGGTGTCAAATATACAAAAATACAGTTTTAAAAAAATTCATTAGCTCTGGAGTCATACTCCCTGTAATCAAATTCTGGCTTTACGACTTGCTGAGTTACTTTGGGCAAGTTACTTAACCTCTATGGGCATTAGTTTTCTTATTCATAAAATTGGGAAAATAATAGTAACTGCCTCATAGGTCAGTTTTGAGGATTAAAAGAGATCATCTGGGGTGCCTGGGTGGCTCAGTGGGTTAAGTGTCTACCTTCGGCTCAGGTCATGATCCTGGGGTCCTGGGATTGAGTCCTGCATCAGGCTCCCTGCTCACTGGGGAGTCTGCTTCTCCCTCCCACTCCCCCTGCTTGTGTTCCTGCTCTCACTGTGACTCTCTCTGTCAAATACATAAATAAAATCTTAAAAAAAAAAAAGATAATCTGTATAAGACATTTAGCATAGTACCTCATATACTATAAAAGCTCAACGAATGTTTACTATCATTTTTTTAAAGTTATAGGTACAAAAATAAACAATAAAAGAAAAATACATTTTCTAACTCAAGCAATTACTAAAATAAAATAGCAAGGAAAATACATCGTTTGAACAAACACAAAAAATAAAAGCTAATACATACAATGCTCGTGCATAATAATCATAAGCAAATATGAATGGGCTTCACTCATCTATTGAAAGAAAAAAATCTGGATATATTCTGTATACCAGAAATACAACTAAAACAAAGTTAACAAAAAAAGCTAAAAATAAAGGGGTAGGCAAAGGTGCACCAGGAAAAGAAAGCAGTACAAGGTCATGATCCTAATATTAGACAAGGCAGATTTCAAGCACCAAAGCATTAAACATGACAAACATTTTAATGCAAAAAGCATTCACAACAAAGATAAAACAGTAACAGGCTAAAGCAGTAATGAATATCCATGTATCAAATAATAAAAGCAGCAATCTAATAAAGCAGAAACATGCCACTCTCAGTGTGAACCAGATCAAGCAGATACAGAAAGCCTAATTAACATAATCAGTGAGGTAGATCTTATTGATACATATCAAATTATACTGTGATAATATACTTTCTTCTGAAATATACCCAGAGTATTGATAAATACTGATCACATAAAGAAAGCACTATGAAGAATACACTCTAACCACATTATAATAAAACTACATATTAATAACAAAAAATAAAAGTAGCCTCCATGCCCAGTGTGGAGCCCAATGCGGGGCTTGAACTCACAACCAACCCTGAGATCAACACCTGAGCTGAAATCAACAGTCAGACACTCAACCTACTGAGCCACACGGGCACACAAGAGAGACTTTTGTTTAGGAGAAACACACTATTTCTGTGTATTTCTCCTTTATTCTCACATTATGACCACACTCACAACACTTTTGACACCAGAAATGTGGGTTTTTGCCCCATTAGGCAATTGTAACACTGAATGGGTGTCCCATGATTCAATTCTGATATTAACCACAGTCAGTGCAGACACCACAGGTTAAGGGTTCAATCCTATAAGACAGATGGCCCTGCCACTGTAGATGCCAATCACAAATAATAGGTCCCCAAATTATCCTCAACTTCTGTTGGCTTGTCTACAAATGAGAGATTTGACTTTTCCCTTGGATTCAATTATTTGTTAGAACAGCTCACAAAACTCAAGGCAACGGCTATGTTTATCAGTTTATTATAAAAAGATACAATAAAGGATAGAGATACACAGGACAAGTTGTGGGAGTGGGGGTGGAGCTTCCATTCTCTCACCAAGGCCTTCACTTTCCCAGCACCTTCATTTGTTTACCAACTTGGAGGCTCTCTGAACTCCGTACCTCTGGAATTTTTTTTTTATATAATTTTATTTTTTATAAACATATATATATATTTTTTTTTCCCCAGGGGTACAGGTCTGTGAATCTCCACGTTTACACACTTCACAGCACTCACCATAGCACATACCCTACCCAATGTCCATAACCACCCCCCTCTCCCAACCCCCCTGTGCCCAGCAACCCTCAGTTTGTTTTGTGAGATTAAGAGTCACTTATGGTTTGTCTCCCTCCCAATCCCAACTTGTTTCATTTACTCTTCTCCTACCACATTAACCCCCCATGTTGCATCTCCTCTCCCTCATATCAGGGAGATCATATGATAGTTGTCTTTCTCTGATTGACTTATTTCGCTAAGCATGATACCCTCTAGTTCCATCCACGTCGTCGCAAATGGCAAGATTTCATTTCTTTTGATGGCTGCATAGTATTCCATTATATATATACACCATCTTCTTTATCCATTCGTCTGTTGATGGACATCTAGGTTCTTTCCATAGTTT